GAGACTTGTAATGGGCTGCCTCACACCTCTGTGTGGCAGTTAAGAATTGGGAGGGATAACTCAGCCATGGAGGGTGCCCCCCCCAGAGGACCGAGGAGCCCCACCCCAAGGTCCCCAACCTGGAGTACTGGTGCCAGGAAGATGAACCCCCACAACATCTAGCTGTGAAAAACAGTGGGGATTCTGACCATCCAGGTGGGATGGAAGGCTGTGGGAAACCCAGATGTCCTCTTAAAGGGCAAGTGCACAGATGCACTCGCTCTCAGGCACTCACCCTGGGCTCTGGTGGAGGGAAAATGACTTGGGGGGGCATCGGAGACATATGGCGAGAGACTGAGTTGTGTGGTTTTGGGGCAAGAACTGAAGGGACAGTCACCATTTTCAATGTGCGGGCTTCTTCTCCCGCAACCGGTGAGAGCATGCCATCCTTCCTGTGTTGGGCCCTCCCCCCATGCCCATGGCCAAATCTGAATTAGTCTGGTAAGCTCCACTCCCTCCACCCAGGTGACTCCCCGAGACCCCGCCCCACTCAACTTGTCCAGTGCAGGAGGCACATTCTCGGCCAGCAGCCAGCCTGCCCAAATGACACTCTTTCTTGGACACTTTCAGGGGTCCACATGACCCAGGCAGGTGGCGACTGACCTCGGTGTGCTCTGAGACTTTTGCTGAATAGCTCCAGGGTCAGCACTGTCACCAAACCAGAATCTACATTAACCTGGTGAACATCACTCATCCTACCCTGGTGGCTCTCTGAGACCCCACCCCACCCAACTTGCATACCATATGAGGCTTTATCAGTGGCTGAACATTAAGGGAGGCAGTAGGTGACAGCAGGCCTCAGGGTGTTTTGGCTTTTTGTGGAGCTACCTCAAACCTGGTATTGGTGGCAGACATCCTCAGTTCACAGCATGGCCTCTCTCACACATCTCCAGGTCCAGAACATTCAACTAACAACTTTGGATCACTTTGTAGCTCCTACCAGGTAGCTCCTGGCTGGTCACAGTCAGTGGGTGACTTGGGCCTGTACCAGAGCCCCTCCCAAGAGGCCCCAGAACCAAGAAACATACTTGGAGACTGGTTTCAGACCATAGCAGATCACTGCCCAATTAGCCTACAAGCATTATCAAAGGCACCGGCCCCTACTAAGGAAAATCCCTCAGAGGGGTAAGCACCCTCCCACACACACAGCAGCTGGTAAGCTGTAGATGTGGCCAAACCCCACAGCCAGTCAGCCTGAGGGTCAATACCACCCATTGATGTGCCAATAGCATTCAAGGCTCAACTATAACAGGAGGGCACACACAACCCACACAAGGGACACCCCTGGAGCACCCGGCTCAGGTGACTAGGGAGACTCTGCCACTGGGCCCTACAGGGCACCTACTACATAAGGTCACCCAGCTAAGACTAGGAGAGATAGCAGATCTATCTAATACATAGAAACACACAGAGAGAGGCATCCAAAATGAGGAAACAAAGAAATACCTCTCAAATAAAAGAACAAGAGGAAACTCCAGAAAAAGAACAAAACAAAATGGAGGCAAGCAACCAACCAGATACAGAGTTCAAAATAATGGTTATAAAGATGCTCAAGGAAGTTAGTGAGAACATCAACAAAGACATAGCAAGCATGAAAAATGACAAAGAAACTACAAAACAGAACCAGTCAGAAGTGAAGAATACAATAGCTGAAATGAAGAATGCACTAGAAGGAATCACCAGCAGATTAGATGAAGCAGAGGATCAAAGCAGTGATTGGGAAGTCAACGTAACAGAAACACCCAATTGAAACACCAAGAAGAAAAAATAATTTTTAAAAATGAGTATAGTTTAAGAGATCTCTGGGACAACATCAAGCATATCAATATTCACATTATAGGGTTACCAGAAGAAGAAGAGAGGAAGCAAGGGATTGGGAGCCTATTTGAAGAAACAATGACAAAATTTCCCTAACCTGGTGAAGGAAATAGACATACAAGCCCAGGAAGCGCAGAGATTCCCAAACAAGCTAAGCCCAAACAGGACTACACCAAGGCACATTATAATTAAAATTCCAAAGGTTAAATACAAAGATAATTCTAAAAGCAGCAAGAGAAAAGCTGTTAGTTACCTACAAGGGAGCTCCCATAAGACTATCAGCTGATTTCTCAACAGAAACCTTGCAGTCCATAAAGGACTGGCACGAAATATTCAAAGTGATTAAAAGCAGGGACCTACAACCAAGATTACTCTACCTAGCAAGCTATCATTTAAAACTGAAGGCAGATAAAAAGGTTTCCCAGAAAAAGCTAAAGGAGTTCATCACCATCAAGCTGGTATTATAAGGAATGTTAGAGGGCCTTCTTAAAGACAATATATATATATATATATATATGATAATATAATGTCAATAACTACATATCTATCAACCTATGACTTTCAATGTAAATGGATTAAATGCTCAAAAAAAAAAAAGACATAGGGTGGCTGAATGGATAAGAAAACAAAACCCTTACTTATGCTACCAGTAAGGGACTCACTTCAGATCAAAATACATACACAAACTGAAAATAAAGGGATTAAAATAGATACTTCATGAAAATGGAAACAAAGAAACAAAAAAGCTGGGGTAGCAATATGAATACCAGACAAAATAGACTTTAAAATAAAGGCTATAACAAGAGGCAGAGAAGGACCCAGTAATCCCACTTCTGGGTTTTTATTCGAAAAAACCAAAATGCTATTTCAAGGGGATGTGTGCATCCATATGTTCATTGTAGCATTGTTTACAATGGCCAAGATGCGGAAGCAGCCTGGGTGTTTGTCAATGGATGAATGGATAAAGAGGAGGTTTCGCACATTTCCAATGGAATACTGCTCGGCCATGGAAGGGAATGGGTTGTCTCCATCTGCAGCAGCACGAATGGACCTGGAGTGTATTGTGCTGAGTAGGGCATGTCAGACAAAGAAAGACAGATGCAATGTGATTCCGCTTATATGTGAAATCTAAAAAACAAAATTAACAAAGAAAACAGAAACAAACTCATAGATACAGAGAACATTTTGATGGTTTGCAGATGAGAGGGGGTCAGGGGTTGGGTAAAAACGGGAAAGGAATAATACGTACAAATTGGATGTTATAAAGGAGTCATGGGGATGTAGGCTATAGCATAAGGAATATAGTAAAACATTGTAATAACTATGTATGGTATCAAATGGGTACATATTTATCAGGGTGATAGATGGGAGGAGGGTTGGGGAACAGGGTGAAAAAGGTGAAGGGATTACAAAGAACAAATTGGCAGTTACAACATCATCATGGGGATGTAAAGTAAACCATAGTGAATATAGTTGATGATATGGTAATAACTATGTATAGTACCAGATGAATACTAGTCAGGGGGATCCCTTCTTTTTTTTTTTTAAGATTTTTATTGGGGAAATGGGGGAAGAGGAACAGACAAGTTTCTGTTGTTTTGTTCTTCAGTCTAGTTGTGGAGGACGTTGCTTCACTGGCCCAAGTTGGCACCATCATTGCACTCTTCCCAGGTGAGGCAGATCAGTCGCCGGCTTCTGGACAGCCGCTCAGGGCGACTGCTGGCCACTCACGCTGGCTGCTGGCTACACACGGTAGCCCATGCCAACCCAGTGCCACAGCCTATGCTGTCTCTGGCGACTCACAGCAGCCCAGCTCCAGGTTGAGCTGTTGTTCAGCATCTTAGCTGTGGAGGGCAGTTTCACTGGCCCTCATATGTGGGATCCGAACCGGGTCCCTCTGGCATCCCAAGCCAGTTCTTAACCATCGCGCCACTTGGCCGGCTCTCCCTTCTTAAATTATATAAATGTCTAACCACTATGCTGTACCCCTGAAATTAACATAAAATAATATTGAATGTCAACTGTAATTGAAAATTTTTTAAAGGGGGGAGAAGGTGAAGGGGAATAAGAGATTCAAATTTCCAGGTATGAAACAAATGTCATGGGGATGTAATGTACAGCATACAGAATAGAGTCAATAATATTGTGCTATTATTTACGAATGTGTGGTTGGGTGTCAGATGGTTGCTGGAATTATTATGGTGATCACTTCTTTAGGTATGTAAATGTTGAACAATTATGTTGTACACCTGAAACTAACATAATATTGTGTGTGAGCTATATTTTAATTAAAACCTAAAAAAAGAAATATTAATAGAAATACTCAATGCTAGAACTTTGAGACATTTCTGTTGGACTTGAACCTGGAGCTGCTACAGCCACCTTCCTTCCATGATGGAGGAGCCAGTTGAGGCAACACCAGGACAGCAGAACCATGCTGAGAAAGAGTGAGAAACCAGGGCTTGGTAACATCATTTGAGCCACTGGATGAAGCGTGAGCTGAACCAGACCTAATCCTGGGTTTTCAAGTTATATAAGCTAATGAAATCCCTTTTAGTTGGAAAAAAGAAAAAAGAAAGAAGACAGGAAGAGATCCAGAAAAGCATGTAGGAAAAATGCAGGTGAGGACCCAGACGAGGATACAGAAAATACAAGTGAGGATGTAGGTGGAAAGACAGGTGAGAATATAAGGATACAGGTAAGCTTACCGATAAAGATGTAGATGGGGGCCGATTGAGGACACAAAAAAAATGCAGGTGGATACAGTAAAGGTGCAGGTAAGAGAGGAAGGAGGTAAGGATTCAGATGAGAATGTTGGTAAGAATTCAGGTGAGAATGCAGTAAGTAAGCAGGTAAGCAAGCAGGTGGGAACTTAGGTGAAGGGGCTTTGAGCTGCTGGTGAGGACAAGTGAGGACAAGGATGGTGAGGGCGCAGGTGAGACAGAATGCAAATGAGATTTCTTTCTCTCTTTCTTGCTTTCCTTCCTCCCCCTCCCTCCCTCCCTTCCGTCCTTCTTTCCTCCCTCCCTCCTTCCCTCCCTTTTTGGAGATTTCAAGTAAGCAGAGAACTGAGATGCAGGTGAGGCAGCTGGGAACCACAGCTGCCTTTTTCTCTCAAAGACCTCCAGACTTTGCGAGACACGTGCAATACAACTGAAGCTTTATTGGGGGGACAGTGATGGGGGATCAGTTGGGACAGCCAAAGGCGATCATGTTCTCCGTGAAGCTGGCCAGGTCCTGGCACAGTTTCTGGTTCTCCTGGTCTTGGCATTCATCGGCCTCTGGCCACAGCTCCACCCAGGTGTCCTTCCCAATGATGTAGCTGATGCTGGTGGGAAGGGAGGGAAGGAGGGCTGGTCAGGATGGGACCTGGGAAGGGTGTGTGGAGTGAGCAGGCGCATGCACAGGGTCAGCACTCACTTGGGTTTCCGACCCCACAGGTCCGATGAAAGGCCCCATGTGAGGTAGTGTTTCCCTTCCTGCAGCTTCAGGGATGCTCTGCACTTGATGTGACTGATGAACTTGCGCTCCTGTCCAACCTGCACCTCA